TTTTCGACACCTGAAGAAGCGGTTGCTGCATTCAGAATGCACGTTTTGGAGATACCTCAAACAGAGTGGCAAAAGTGCTTCGACAATTGGTCCAAACACATACAAAAGTGTGTAGATTTTCATGGGGAATGTTTTGAAAAACAATAAAGTGATTTTCAATGATTAATATTTGTTTTTGTTTTTTAATTCTGAAATATAAAAGGCAACCCTCGTAAGATAAAACAACAAGAGACAAGCACAAAATTTTTAATTAATTTCTATAAAAATATATACGCAAAAAAATAGACTATTTGATAAAAGGTTTTGAATTATATAATAAATTATTATTAGAAATAAAAAATTAAGATAAAATTAAAGAATTTTTTAAAAAATTATGAACTACAAAAAAATAAAAATTAATTCTGTAAATAGTTGACTGAGTTTATCTATAGATGTAAACCATGTATGAAAATATGTCTTAAGTAATAGCCAAGAGGGCTAAATAAATCAAATCAATCTAATTTTAGTTTCCTAGACTGGTACCGCCATGGAGGGTTCTTGGGCTACTTTTGTCAATTCAAAACTCTTCTTTGTAAATCATCTTTGAAATCTGTTATGATAGTCTGATCATCTACATTCAAGATTGTATTTGTCTTTCCTTATTTGTCTTCTCTAGTTAACTCTCCTTCTGTGGTTTCTTATCAGGTGATTAATATACATGATGAAGAGACATCATTCACATAAGCTACTATTATTGCTTTGTAATTGATTATTGGTCTTATTACTACAGGCCTCTTTCCTTCTTTTAACTGTATATTAATTCATGAGTTTTTATTAAAACATTGGTTTGCCTGGAGCAAGTAATTTCAGACTTTCCCCTCTATTTCCTACTTTTTGCCTATTTACTCTGACATATGCCTTTTCATAATCAATAAATATTATAATAGTTGGTAGATTCATTTCTCTTCTTTAATATATTAACATCTGTAATGATATCCTGATAGAAATATTGTGAGTTAACACTAGAAGGACCAGAACAGTCATGCATTTCTATATATTTCCTTGGACATAAGAGACATTTTCAACACTCACTGAAGTATAAACTTACAGTGACTCGAAACTTATATTATCATCCTTTCATGAATGATGTGAGTCTCTTATTGTCATTCAATACATTCTCTGAATGAAAGCTTTGTTGTCTCTCATCATTATCATGCTTGTGATACAGGGTGCTGAGTGTACGTCAAAGATTGAAAAATCAAAACGGAACATTTCGTTCTTTGTTGTGGAGTGTGTTGGGAGTACTTGCACGGTTCCTGCAAGATGTAGAACCTCTCAACAAATGATATTCTGTTAACGCTTCAAGAATTAGAGACAGATGATTTTGGAGATGAACTTTAGGATTTGTTCTGAAAGAAATAGGTGTATTTCCATGTCTGACAGTGAGGTATTCTCTTCAGCCTACGAAGAGTGTGAAATGAAAACGAAGAGACAAACTACAGGGAATTAATTTTGTGTTAGTTTTAACTCCTGGTTTACCTAAAAATCTATTTTACAAAATTTATCTCACATTTTATTACTGTAATTTATTTGCTTTTCAGATAACCAAAATAGCAATGAACTAGTAACTAAGGAGTCCTCAAATAATACATGACCACTACTTTCAATTGGACAACACATCATTGGTAAGTACAATGCAACACAATAAGGTAAATTCTTGTTGGTTGCAACAAAATTTCAGAAAATTCAATTTTACAGTCTGATATCTGTGTGAAATTTTCAGTCTGATATCTGTTTCTTATTTCTTTTCAGGTAGTAAAAACTCGAGCGAATTAATATCACGATTAGTATGAAAGTAATATAACAGCACAACTTCAAATTGGACAAAGCATCGTCGGTAAGGATGGTGCAACCACATAGACAGTAATTGAAAGAGGCAGCCATAGTGTAGGTAGGTTGAGCTCTCAAAATATTCTAAAAGAATTGCAGGGCCCATGTGTTATGCAAAGTGATGCGCCAAAGAAGAACTTTTCTCAAGTGCTTGGGATTTATTTATTGATGAGTCTAACATATGAAACAGTACACAGAAATCAAAACTAGTTTGAAGTCTGGAAATGATGAATGGACTATCTATCTCTTTTATAAGCAAGAGGTCATTGTAACATAAAAAAACTTGATTTAGATATGACTGTTTGGGGGCCACCTGTGTTTACTCAGACAATGTCAGGTAATAGATTCAAAGAGATGAAGTACCTTCATTTTAACGTGAAAGCCACATGATCAACTAGATTAGAAACATAAATCTGCATTGCTTTTTGCTATATGGGACAAATTTGTAGAGAATAGTCGAGCTTCATACAATTCTGGAGAAACACTTACTGTAGATGAGCATTATTTCTTAATAAAGCTTGCTGCAGATTTACCCAATACATAGCAAATAAGCTGGATATATTTGGCATAAAATTCTGTCTATTGGCTGCAGTTGACTGAAAATATTTATGTAAAGCAATTCCATATCTTGGTAAGAAAAAGCAGAGAACTAAAAGAATCCCTGCCAGAATAAGTTGTTATGAAAATAATGTAGCCATTTCTTAAAAAGGGGCACAACATAACTTGTGACATCTTTATTACCTCACTAAACTGTCAGAACAACTCAAATCTAAGAACTCCAGCATTGTCAGTACCATAATAGATAATAGAGAAATTCCAATGTGTGGCAAGAACCTGAAACAAATTGTTCTTGACAGGACAATTCTCAAGACCGATAATGCAATGCTCCCTGTGCATCCAGGTAAGAACAAACATGAACTTATTCTGAGCACCTTGCACAGAGATGTACAAGTTGTGTCAGAAGGAAAAAAGCTATCAGAAACTGTTTTATTTTACAACAGAACTAAATATGGGGTATATATTGTTGATCAGATGGGAAAAAATATATACTGCAAATGCAGGGTCACAAAGATGGCGTCTATGTATTTTACAATATACTTCATCTCACAGCTTTGAATGCATGAATTGAACACATTTACCAAGAGCAAAATATCTTGACATTCAAATATTTTGAAGTTAGTTGAAGTTAGAAGAATTATGTAGAAAGCGCATTCTGGGTTCAGCTGGATCTTCCAGAAATCCAGTTCAACAAAACTTGGACACAGTGGCATATTCCCCTTTCTCTATATTCTCATATTCCCCTTTCTCTATACCAGAATAAATAATACGATCTTCTAGTTCTTTTTTGGACCTATGGTTTTCTTTTTTGTTTCAGATATAACAGTTATATCTTTCAGTTTCTAAGGTTAACATATAATTACATTTCTTTGTGGGTTAATCTCCTCTCATTCCATCTTTGTCTTAGTTGGGTATTAGTTGGGAATATCCTTCTTAGCTATGTGGTGTTTTGAAGTGGAATTTATTCAGAAAATTCTCCGTCCTGATTTCTCAGGGATGGAAGTGAAATTAAAACTAAGAATGACTAAAATTGCAAAATATACTTTTAAAAAATTGTACTTGAGTGTGTCTATACTATCTCATTTTACAATAATTTTCAGTAATTGCCCGACATGTTACAGAATACTGACAGACAGAATTTCTGGTTGCCTTCAGATATAATATTGTATTATGGTTTAATTAATAAATTTAAACGGAGTATAAGAATGAATAGAGTTGTTTTTAAATGAAGTAAAAAATGTATTCTTCGCATTGAAATCAATTGACGTAGATATTTCTTCCGGAACAACGTTCACATCTAATTATTTTGTTTAATAACTGCATGTCAGAACTTCTCTATGACTAGATGTATTTGACATTTACTCTAAGCACATAGATTTAACATGTCAGTAAAAAATGGCATATTCAATTCAGAGGCAGAACATTAAACTAAGAAATTTAATATTAATGATACCTTGACAATTGAGATAACAGAGTCTCCAGCATATAACTTGAATCTAACGAATGTTGGGTTATTTCAGCTGGTGTAGCACCTTCTGGATAACTTCTTTCTGGTAAACAGGTCAATCGTAACTCTGTGCCTGGACTTGCTTTTAATTGAGGCAATAACTCTTCTTCCTTTTCCTCTGCAGTACTAACACGAGCTCTCCTTTCCTTCCTTGGAGATAGGTCATTTTGCCCACAACAGACTAGTTCCAAAGCGGAACTTACGTAACCTGTTTCAGGAGATAGCTGCTGTGATTGACTTTCTGTAAGTCGAAAGTAAACAATTAAATACACAACTCGATGAAAATAGCAAAAAGAAAAACATGAAAAAAATCTGTAAAAGAATACAGGTAAATATTAATCATATGTTAGTGAATTAATTGCACTTTTGACTCATTGAAAATTTTGAGAAAACATTTTTAAACCTACTTTGTAACAAATTTGAAAGAACTGTGTGATGTTTTGTCAAAATCATCAAGGAATGTATACAAAAGGAACAGACTCCAGAGAATTGGGTCTACACTCCCATGAGTAAACATTACACTGACATGTATTTTTTTGAAAAATCAAAAGCGTAAAACTGCTACTCCCAAACAAATGTTAATTTTACTCGTCAACGACATATTGAAACTTGTTCCAAATACAAAAATACTTACAATAGAAAATTTATTACATAAAATTTTACTTCAGTTAAATACAGGGGCTGAAACGTAGTATACGATATAACCTAAGGAAGTCGTTTAAACCGGCACTTTGCGCCATTTGGGCGTTAATTGGCAGTTAGAATTCTGGAGGCTTTCTTGAAAAGTGCTTTCTTATAAAAATGAATAGGTAATTATGCGTTGGATAGACTCAAGGATGTTTATTGTGAACGAGAGGGCCGAAGGCCCGAGCTTGGCCGTGACTTGAAGCAGGATGAGCGAAGCGAGAAAGTTACCTTCGAAAGTAAATTGATATTATAATGCAGCAGGGATAATGGGGGAGCGTATGAAGGGCAAGACATGAAAATCATCCATCCATAATTTCTATCAGAGCGTGTAGCATAATTTGAGGGCGGGCTTAAAGAGACCCCACCCCCTGCCATGCTTCTCTGAAGTTGTACCGTGTACCCTACTTTAACCAAAAAACCTTTTTCACTCTTTTTGAGGTAGTCCATCAAAACATTTTATTAACATTTCATCTATTCGTTTATATTTCCATTTCACAGAAAAGAGATATGATAAAATAACACTAATTACGTTGAAGCTGGCATGTGAAATCGCTTTAGAATTATCAAGAGAATCTACTCTTCTTAAAGATAAAACCATGGGAAAGCTACCCAACTACCACAGATTTTGTAAAGAGGACTTTGCAAGGGGTAACAACCTATGTTATACCAATAATTCCCACAATACATTCCACTCACTATTTTAAACTCCTTTAGAGATATGACCTTTCTCATTTTCCAAACCCTGATGCAACACACGAACCTGTGTTAGTTTAAAATTATGTCACTAACAAAAAAGAGATTTGAACAGCTCACCTGTTATTTTATCAGTTAGGACCTTCCACTTCTTCCACACATCAAAAGGATAGGGCCCTAAATGTTTGTCAAGATTAAGTAAATTTGACTTATAAACTTTCACTTCCTCTTCACTTATTTCTGTAACAAGCACCAAAGTGCAATGAACAACAAACATTGCCACTTTATTTGGACATGAGAAACAAATATATATAAACACAGTATTTTATGCACACCTGCCGATGAAATACTTTCAGAATCGGGATCCCATTGTTTTACAACAAACTCAGATTTCTTGAAATGGTGAAAAAAGCCTACACGAGGAGCAACATCTCCATGTTCATTCACAGCACTAAAACAGAACTACTGTTAAGAAACAAAAAATTTTATCTACACCCCTTCACTTTCTAGACAGAGTGATTAGAGAAATTTGGAAAGCTTTTTAAATTGCTACCTATAGGAGACATGAAAATGATTTTTGCTAGACCAAATACAAAATGTTAAATTACGAGCATAAACTTCCTCTTATGTAGGAAGAATGGGTGTTAGATATTCCTACATAAATGTAACACCTAAGAATTATTGGAAATATTGGATAATAATCTACATCAGATTTGATAACAGTTCCAGAGGTGCATTTTTGAATATTGAAATAAACAAGGAAATATTATTTGACAATCAAATACAATGTCATGATATGACAAATTGGCTAGATCTTAAATACTGATCTAACGTCTCTCAACATATAAATCATCATTTTCCGATCTATCAACATGTCTGTAAATCTCAAATAATTATTTTAACAGGAATATGCGAACAAACTATTGCCTGAAATCAATACTGACTGAACAGCACCAGTAAATTGTAAGCTTAATTACACTTAATCAACTGATACATTTTTTGTTAAAGACAAACCTGTAATAAATAAAGTGTAGACCAGGTGGTATCATTTTTAAACCTTTGAACCTATCGGCAGTGTTCCACGATTTCATATCAATGCCAAATTCAGTACCTTGGGGAACATTAAGTAACATTAAAGTGGCACCCTCAATTAAGAGTCGACGAGCCAAGTCTTGGTCTATGTCGAGACTTCCCTCGCCCATCTTTTTAACTCAAATATACACCAAGTTAAACGCAATTGAAACTTCTACCAAACATGATCAAACAGCCTTATTGAAGCAACTGCCCTGAGCGGACTCCAGATTTCCTTTTTCGAAACACGCAACAGTTCTAAGCGGGCAACGCTGGCTGGCAATGTTGATTCTGCTAGTTGCTGATACTACTCTTTGGATTCTGCTGCTATAACGCATAACTTCAATGTCAGGGCTGTTTCACTCAATGTTAAAAGGCGGGGGCTAAGTTTATTTCCTCAGTCACGGACCTGGTGCAGATAGCGCAGCTGTTGCGTTTTGGCGCGTAGTAAAGTTGTGCGAAATTCAGGTTCTGGTAAATGTAGGGAATATCCACGAGTATTATGGGCGTTTCTTATGATTTACTACAAAGAATTAATTATATTATTTGCAGAAGATGTGTATATGTTGCGTAAGAGGGTGTTCAACCTCTTGGAGGATGCCCTTTCACAAGCTCTCCAAAAAATCAACGGATGCCTGAACGATGGTTGAAAAGCATAAATCGCGAAGATTTAATTGGTAAGTTATGTATGAAACATTATAAAAGTTAATAAAATTATATGTACTAATAAAATTAATCAACTACGCACACCTTGATACGATTGGTGAGACAGAACCTCACGTCTATAGAAGATATTTTTTATAGTAGAAAATTTACAATCTCTCCGATAAATGGGGATCTGTAGACCATTAAATAATTTCTTGATTACATATAACAATTTTTAATGAATATTTCACGCGATAAAACTCGAGAACGGCTGAACGGATTTATCTTATCTTGATCTTGGTTAGAAATGTTTGTGGAGGTTCTATTGGGAAGTGTTTAAAAGTTGAGAATAATTTCGTATATATTGCCGGGATAAGTAACCCTCAAAAGAGGCTTTCTCAACGAGCCTGCGGGTGGCACATTCAAAAGCAGAAATAACTAAGAAGAGCAAAGAAATAATAATAAGAAAGAGGAGCCACGCTCGCTCTTCCTGCGCAAGACCGGACTCCATCAACCTCCCGCCTGGTAGCTTGGGCCGGAGCTCCGATGCTCCGAGCACCGGTGGCTTGCCCATCGTCAAGAGCGATAGATTAAGAGCCGACCGCGCGCCTCTGGGAGGTCATGTCCAAAGTTTCCGTTCGTTACGATGGTCGAATGCTCTGGACACCCTCTTTCGCCATCGGATTTTAAAGGGTTTGTAATCTCTGTAGATTTATCGAGAATAGACATATACGATACTCGAGAACGGCTGAACGGTATTATCTTCTACTTGGTTTTCAAATGTGTGTTTTGAAAATCATAAAGTTGGAAATTTGATGTGTCGTGGAGGAGATCTAAATTGTGTGTGTGTGTTGTGTGTGTGTTGATATTTTGCGATATGTGACCTTTAACTGCTATAAGCATGAGCGAGATTTTATTTATCTAAATTTTACCGATCGAGGAGAAGTACGAATGACTGTAG